TTTTTACCAGATACATGTAAGATTCAAGTTTGTATGGAAAAGTGCTCAATAAAGTTTGTTATTATTTTAATATTATTATTATTATTATTATTATTATTCATGCTGTTATAATAAAGTGTAGATGTAAGACACAGAAACAACTCATTAACCTAAAATTCCTAGCTATAAATTAATGAAAAAGGAATAAAGTTTGTTGTTGGTGGTGTTGTTGTTGCTGTTGTTGTTGTTGGTGGTGTTGGTGTTGTTGTGTGTCTTTTTGGCATCGACAAAAATTGCCCTCTGGGGAAAAAGGGGCATTATTGTCCCCTCAGTCTGATATCAATTTCAAAGTACTTCCCGAGTTCCCGTAAGTTCATCTTCGTCCTAATCTTGAAGTGCTAAGCTTTTTAAAAATATAAGATTAAGGATTCAAATCAATCTGGATATAATTTTGCGTCTTCTCGCGGACTTGCCCGTTCATTAGGAGTTTTCACTGAAATGGCGGAGTACTCAACTGTGAAATTTTTCTGTAAACAAACTTTTCAAATTTTACATTTGGCTTTAACTCCTTTCATCTACAAAAGTTGAAAATGATTAGATATGATCTTTAAACTGTCGCGCGGAAGAAAATTTATCTAGTGGTGAACAATCAAGACAATAGAGTGTTTATGTCTTGGAACTATCGGTCTGATAGTTGCCTCTTTGAAATTTGATATTCTCAAAACTAGCATATTTGTTATAAGAACATCAAATTTAAATTTCCGCGGGGCAATTATCAACCGATAGTCCCTCGACAGAAACACTCTATTGCTTAAATAGAAATCTCGAGTTCATAATCTAATTGCTAAATAGAATGGTTTTCAATTGAGTGTCGTAAAACCAAAGCCAAACCAAATGCTTACCAGTTAGACTACTCGAACAATCTCAAACCGTAGTAAAACCAAGGTAAGGTAAGATAAGGTAAGGTAAATTTATTTTGAGTCGTAAAAGTGGGGAGTGGTTGCTCAATCTCCCGAGCCAGGGGCTTATGACAAAAACGGACGACTATTTACAATAACATTACTACTTACAATTACTCTATTCGCTAAGATAAATCCTAAGAACACGACTGTTTACAATAACACATTACTACTTACAATTACTATATTCGCTAGGATGAAATCAGAATTAAAATATAAAATATTCCTAAGAGCAACTAGTCCTAACATTAAAAATTTGAGTTAGAAAATGCAGTTTTTACACTGGCACCCTTTAAACTCCACACCTTTCAAACGAGAACGAAATTGTGCCAAAGTGGTCGAGGATT